CGATAAGGTTCTCAAAAGGTTTGATATGCAAGACTGCAAACCAGGAGATACCCCAGTTTCCAAAGGAGACAAGTTTAGTCTCATGCAGTGCCCTAAGAATGGTTTTGAATCTAAAGAAATGAGGAGCATTCCTTATGCTTCGGCTGTAGGAAGTTTGATGTATGCTCAAGTTTGTACAAGACCTGATTTGGCATACATTGTTGGGATGTTAGGCAGATATTTGAGCAATCCGGGAATGGACCATTGGAAAGCAGTCAAAAGGGTCATGCGGTATTTACAGAGAACAAAGGAATATATGCTCACATATCGGAGATCGGATCAGCTTGAGATCATTGGGTATACCGACTCTGATTTTGCTAGATGTCAAGATAGCTTGAGATCCACTTCAGGCTACATCTATATTCTAGCTGGAGGAGCTATCTCCAGGAGGAGTATCAAGCAGACTCTTACAACTACTTCCACCATGGAAGCAGAGTTTCTAGCATGCATGTTATGAGGCATCCAATCATGCATTATGGCTGTGTGATTTTGTTAGTGGACTGCGCATAATGGACAATATTGAAAGACCACTTAAGCTATTGTGTGACAATAGGTCAACAGTCCTTTATGTTAAGAACAACAGTAGTTTGACCAAGGCAAAACACATTGGGGTCAAACTTAAAGCTGTTAAAGAACGAGTATAAGAAGGAAAGTTGTCTATAGAACACATCAGCACAAACTCCATGATTGCAGATCCGCTCACTAAAGGATTACCACCCAAAGTGTTTCATGAGCATGTTGCTCAAATGGGTGTCAAATCAGTTGAGGATTATGAGTTTTAGTGGGAGTTTGTAATGTTTCTATATTTGGTTAACTCAAGTTTTAATGTTATTTTCTGCAGAAATAAAGTTTAAAGTTTTATGTACTCTTACAGTTATATTATTGATCTCAAGGTGGACCAGTTGGAAATAGACATTCTATTCCAGACCACACTTGATGTTATTCCCACGCTACACGCCTATACTTGATCCATGTCGTTTATTATATTAATATATGTGATCATTGATGGGTCTAGTTATTCAAATATAGCAAAGACTTCTTTGGTCCTATGTTGATATAATTAATGGACCGGATTGATTAAAGATGACTACAGTTTGATAGCAAAATTTTGGAGCTCCTAAAGTAAACATACAATGCTAAGGATTGTGTGTATACATGCGTATGTCGTCCAAGTGGGAGATTGTTAGACTATTGGATTCATACTACATGTATTATTCACAATATATTATTTATTGGGCTTAATTGTATGTTATATGCTATCTTATATTTAGGCCCAAAAAATTAGTGGTCCTATGGATATTAATTTAAGTGGGCTAATAAGTTATCTAATAAGGTATAGAGCCTAAATGTGTAGAGACCCATGGGCTTGACCTAATCAATGATGGGCTGATTAGGGTTAAGCACTCTCTATAAATAAGGGGTTATGGTCCCTAGTTGAACACATCATTCCGTCTTTCTGCATCCCATCGCTAGAGAGATAATTCCCGAGGGTGTGTATCAACTAGAAGACGTAAACCCTAGCCTCCGTCTCCCAGATCTCTAAACATCATCTCCCATGGAGTCAGGTACGCTTCCGCTCAGTCAATTCTCCAGATAATTCCAATTTGAAGATTAAAGTATTAATGGTTTTATTCCAACATGTTGAGCATAGTGTAAAACTTCACATACTATATATTTAGCTCAAATGGTCTTTTGTGTCTAATATCCTCTCCATTGTAATATGAAATCTGTTCAATAAAGAAGAGTCACTCAGTAGTAATATGCCTATTTTTTTTTTGAAAAATAAGAATAATATTTTGATCCCGTTTAGTAATATTGAAATTGGGCGGATCGACCGAATCTAGTAAAATTAATGAAGTTTTGGCAGAAGCAGCTAAATTGGTTGAGTTGGAAGAAATTATATGTACAAATATACATTTTTAATTATTTTTTTAATATGAAAACAACCAAAATAGTCATCTCTAGTACAATTGAAATAAAATTGAAATAAAAAAGTATGTGTTAGATAAAAATGTACGTTTGACTTATGAGCCTCAGAAGAAGCTTGAGACAAGGATTACCAAGACAGGTTATTCATTAGAAGACTAATAATTCATGCAACTCATATAAAGGTACAAAGTTAGGATCGGAATACTTCATTAGGCCTAGAGGTAATAGACCAAATTTAATAAGAGAAATGTAGCAACAGCACAAATATATATAAGATGAACTCAATAGATATTATTTAAGAAAAAAGATAAGAATATTACATCTAGATTTCTGAAAACCAAAAAATATATGATTATTGTTCTGTTTTCTTTTAAATATGACTTGTTTAGTTAATTCAAATTTTCTCTGTTTGTAGTCTCTAACTCTCTATCCAACCTTTGCCCTGATAAAAAGAAAACATTTGCCCTTGGTACTCACTACTCAACTGTCGCCGGAAATCTCCGCTGGAAATCCATTTTTTTTGACCAATATGTTTCTGTTTTTTCAATTTTTAAATTCTTTATTGTGATCACAAACTCACAATGACATGTTTCATGACGATAGTAACATCAATTACAACAACACTGACACATGCACTAACTTTGTTAGTGACATAAAAATTGACAGTGATGTCATAATTTTCGAATTTATTAATTTGTTAGTCACATTTTTATCTACATTCAAACATAATCTTTTTAAATTAAGCTTCAATTTAATCACATTTACGAGAAAATTCCTGTCAACTATTCTTTCGTTTTCAAAAACGTAGATCCCGTTTGATAACACGAAATTCGGCTGATTCTGCAGAAATTTATGAAGTTCTGGCTGAAGTGGCTGCATTGACTTATTCTGCTGGTTTAAGGAATTTGTTTTTAAATATATTTTATTAATAAAATAATGAAAAAGTTATATGTAAAAATAGCTAAAATGATCATCTACAGTAACTTCAGCCAATACAATTAGAAAAGTAACTCCAACATTACTTTTTCTTATTATTACACAATTCAGCGCACGAAAAAAAAAGTTACGTGTTTGGTTAAAAAATTGGTTGATAAGCCTGATAAGTCGAAAATAGTGTTACCAAACGCCCTCGTAATCAACTTTAATTTGCACGAATAGTATTAAAGAAAATTTTACTGGCAAGATTTGTGTATAGAAAATATAATACCATGTAACCATTACTTTCGTCCCGAAAAGGTTTGCCACATTGATTTTTCTTAATTTGATCAATGATGACAAATTTTGGACAATGATTTTGATGATTATAGTTGTATATAGCTTATAAATTTTATTCTTTTATGAACATTTTGATATTATTTTCATATTTAAAATAATTTTGTATTAAAACACATCATTGGTCAAACTTGTTGATCACTAATGAAGAAAAGTTAATTTGATCAATCTTTTCAGGACGGAGGAAGTACGAACTACATAGTATACTCCAAACAAACAAATAATAATAAAGCTCATTTACTAAAGGAATATTTTATGTTTCTCTCTAGGAAACTGGAAAGTTGGAGAAAGGAAAATCGGAAAACATGATTACATGTTCATTCTTCAAATTGAAAAACAGAGACATGTCTTTGATTTTCTTCTTAAGTCGGAGAACTCACTTTGCGGTGTTTTTCAAAAAGGAAATATGCAGCGCTACAGTACGTCCTCTAGTTGTTTTGTGCCTGAGTATTCGATCGGGTAACCTTTTTAAAAAACTACATAATTAAACACATGATCATAAATAAAGAATATATAAAATTTTGAAAAATATCACTTTGGATGCGGTTATTGCTATAACCGCAATAAAAAATATAATTTTCAACTTAAGAACTACTGTATAAAATTACTTATTCGCGTGTTAAGCTTTGTTTGTGAAAATGGAACGATCCAACTTGATATTTCTCAACAACAATAAATGCATGCATGTCGTTAGAGAAACTATTGCGAATGCAATTTGACATAATTATAACGTTGAAGTGTTATTAGTGTTATGTCCTTTTTCAGAACAATATAATGTCTTATTTAAAAAATATCACTTATTAAGCCTTTTCATGGATTATCATTTATATTAACTTTTTGTCTTATTCAAATGTTTCTAATTACGAGTATTTTATTTTGCATTATCCACACATATTAATTTTTTAATGGTGTCAGGTAGCCCTAGTATTTGTCATTTTTTCCGCCTTCTACTCTATCAAATTTCAATTTAGTGTATATGCTTACTTTATGGTTTTTAAAATCGAATGGAAAACAAAGAAAATTTAAAAATGTGTTCCATCCAATTTGAGAGATGAAAAACTATAAAATGGAAATAGAGAAATTTAGAAAACTGAAGAAATGAAGAAATAAGTAAATGAGCCCTTGTATATCCATTTTGATGATGAAAGTCATCAAAATGTTAAGAGAAATTAAATCACTATATGTAGCCTTTATGTCTGCAAATCTATTTTTCAAAAAAAAAAATAGTTACTCAGAAGCGCAATGTGTGCGTGATTCGGTTTTTAATGATCTAATTTGGGGGAGAGATGTGCAGAAGCTGCATTTCAGAGTTTTCCCCCAAAATAAGGTATTTTTTGACATGTCATCCAACCTGTCACGTCATAGATGTCACATAGTTGCTGGTCATTCCATGTCATCAAATTTGTGTGTGTTTTATGTAGTTAAAAAATAATACTATATGTCATTAGTGGGAGTTGAACCCACGCTTCTCACCTACTTCATAGTAATGTAAGAACCACTCGACTACAATGCTCATTTGGTATAAGCTCTCATTTAAATAACTTTAACATATAACATGATATAGGGACCGTTTGGAGCCTATAAAATGGGCTGATAAGTCTTAAAATAGAAAAAAAGAGCCAAACACTAGCCATTTGGGTTGTTTGGGCTGATATTACTTATGAGCCAAAAAAAGTAACCATTGGGTTACTTTTTGAGCTGAAACTGATTAATGTATCTGTTGCCCAACTAAATACCTTTTTACCCTTTTATTTTTGCAGGCTTCTCCTCTGGCCATAGCGACGAAAACCTGGCTGCTCATACTTCAAAGCCCTGCTCGACTGCGCCCTACTTTCAGCCTTCCAGATCTTGGGTTCTCCATTTTCATCTAAGGTAAGTTTACCTACCATCTATCTTCTTCTTCTTCAATTTTGTGTTGCCATGGTTTAGGTTCCATTTCAGTGTCAAGAACATCGAATCAGCATAGTTTAAGTTCCATTTCATTTTTAATTAACCGTGTGTTTTAGATTAATAAACATAGTTTAATTTAGGTTCCATTTCATAGTTCAAGTTTCATTTCATATTATTAATAAACATATTTCAACATGAAATATGTAGTTTATCTGAGTTCTTGATTCAGATTTTGATTCCTGTTTTTCTACGGCGCCGTTTTAGTTTTCTTTGAATTTATTAATTTGATTTATTAGTCCAGATTTTGATTCCCGTTTTTCTATGTCCACCTAGGGATGGTTTGATTCCCATTGATCTACAAAAAGTTTTTTTCTTCTAAGTAAGAAGAGAGCACAAAATATCTTTGTATGGAAATAAGCTGTGAAATCAAGATGAATTTAACCTGCCTTTTAAGAAGAATCGGCAAAGATGCAATTTTAAATGCACACAAATAATTAAGCAAATACTCTTAATGGTAATTTTACATTCAATCAGCAATTTCAGCCAACATATTACCAAACACTTTCACTTCAGCAGTTTCAGTCTTTTCAGACTTTTCAGCCCTTCCAGTCGATTCAGCTGGTTCCAAACAGGCCCATAGATTTTAAGCTCTCCGCTACATTTTAAACTCGTGCATTACTCGTTCTTTTAGGATATTTTACTTCTTTCTCAATAAAAAAGTAATTGGATATATGTAATTATAACAAGGAGAAGCAACGGGAGCAGATTCAATAGTTAAAAAGGCCTACCACCATTGGACCGACTGAGTCATCGTGATTAACATCCTCCCAAAAATCCTATCCGGTCGGGGTATGGGGGGCTCCTTGGGTGGGAGATTCCACCTTTTGGACCAAGCAGATTCAATAGAAGTAGATTGGTCTCCGAGTGAAACAGGACCGTGATGAATACTAGAAGTAATTATCTGAACACTTAGGAAGGGCTAGCTATAGGTGGAATTGAAATCAAATGCCCTTCCGGTAATTATCTGAACACTTAGTAAAAGGGTTTAAGCCGTTTCAAATTCAGATCGTAGCTAGGAGTTATCAAGTGGCACCCACTTTTTATTTTTTTCGCCACCCTTGAAGGCTTTGAATTGAATTTCCGTTTGCTTTATGACTCAATCCCTATGTAGCACCGATACCGGTACGCGGAATCGCGAAAACGCGGACACGGGTACGGGGATACGGCAAAACAAAAAAAGTAAGATACGGATACGGGGCCATATTTTTAAATATTAAAAGTTATGGGGGTGTATTTACAAATATTAAAAGTTACAGGGGTGTATTTATAAATATAAAAATAGATTTTTTTTGGAAATATATACATATAATATCCTATGAAATATACAAAAAAAATAATTTTTTTTGGATATATATATATATATATATATATATATATATATATATATATCCTATATATACATATATACTCATTCATTACATATACATCATAATATTTCTCATATACACTAGTGCATCTCGAAATATAAATGTAGACATGTAGTCGATAAGTCATTAATTTAAAATGAGAAATAAGTCAAACAACTACAATCTTGAAATTAAAAGTGCAAGTACCAAAGTTCTAGAATAATTAAGATAGAAAACAATGTTTTAAAAGCTCTAACATCTAATACATATGTTCACTCGAAGTATTAATTTCCAGAAATAATATCATCTTCCAAAAAAACTTCCAATGATACGGGTATCCGTCAGGATACGAGTATCGGAAACTTTCAAAAAATTACAAAAAAAAAATGGAAACTTTTAAAAATTACAGATACGGCCCGGGAACGTACGGTACGGATATCCTAGAGTATCGGATACGGGAACGTATCCGATACGTCGATACGCTACCCTAGGGAAGTATATGTGCTTCATAGCTCACTCCATTTGAATTAAATTCAATTTCGCATTTCTAAAACCAAAATGAAATTCAACCTAATGTTAACCTTCGTCAATTTGAATCATGTCAGGACTTATCAGCTAAATCATATTCCTACGGTTCTACCTCTTAAAGAAAAATTTTATTCGTATTTTGTATATAAAATTTTTACACATTTGTACTTACAAATGTTACAAATGTTAAAAATAAAATCGGAAAATTTTACTCTACACACATTTGTTGTTTTACTTTATACTTACACATGCATACATTTCCTCTTTTTACATACTCTCCCTACAATTCTTTAGACGGAAGTCCACATAAAAAGTTAGCTGTGTCCAAACACAACATTCATAAAATAGAGTAACATTTGGGGGGCGATGCAAACAATTGGTTATACCTTTTTATCAACTTGGGATGCTTTGTTTATATATTTTTACAACATTTTTTTACAACATTTTTTGGAGTTTATTGAAAATGATTTCGAGTTTGCATGATCGAATAGTTGATTGCAAAATTGACAATAAAATGGGGTAGGTCACTAGTATAGTTTGCTACCCAGGACCCTGGAATAACGTGAATGATAATCGTCTATTATAAACTGAAGAAAACTTATTAAGTACGTACTTCCGTAGTACCCAATCGAGTATTAGGATAAGAATTAAATGTAAATTTGACATAAAGGTAGCAACATCAAAAGTGAAATTAATAAATCAAATTAAGAAAAAAAATTGTATTAAAGTTCGGTTGTGATGCATCCGAAGTTCAATTGATCACCCGAAACCTAAGTGTAAGCATTTAGCGGTAATGAATGAGCCGAGTATTGTAAAGAAATTAAAGAACACCCACACAATAATTGAAGACCAACTCATAAGGTCGTTAAGGTAGTCGAATGAGTTTTGGAAGTTTGACTGCGTTTTATATGTATTTTTTACGCAGTTAACCTCACAAAATTATTTGACAATCTTTCGGATTGAGTTTTTAGCTGAGATTTTTGTGGATAAAAAAGACTTGATGAAGAACATGCCATAATAATTTCATAAAAAAAACACCGGGAAGGCCCCAAACGTTGTCGGCCAGACGACGGTTCCGGTCTGGAAGGCCTGACCGGAACACTACTCATATATATAGACAAATGTTCAGGTCCGGAATTCCGGACCAGAACCGCCGTCCGGTCGATGGCTTTTGGGGCCCTTTCCAGTGGTTTTTTTGATGAAATTTTTATGACATGTTCTTCATCAAGTCTAGTTTATCCACAAAAAAATCTGCTAAAAAATCAATCCGGAAGATCGTCAAAATGAATTTTGGAAGTTGACTACTTTTTATATGTAGTATATATATAAGGGTAATTCTACTGTGCCTCTTAAAATTAATAAGGTATGGTACCTCTACTAACGTGGGCCAATAAGAGTGATACATATGGAGTCTTTAAACACATGGATGAAACCCTAGTATTTAATTTAAAGACTAACTAATTTGCAGTCCCTATGATAAACGTGTGTTTTGACGGTTCAAGTGAACGCACAAACGTATCAGGAAAGGAAGACGGCAGCAGTCCCGTACTCGATCTCATCGGCGATTTGGATCCGGTTTCTCTGCCCGGATTTTGCCGCCACGTAGGGTGCCTGGCTTTTTATGGCCCTCTGATGCCATATTTGTAGATCCCAATGCGCTCCTTCTTTCTTCTTTCCCGTCCGATTTGCGCCAAGGACTCTGCCGCACGGCAGGGTATCCTGATCTGATTTAGACGTCTGCTACTGTAAAATTCATTAGCTTTTCTTCGGGGTGTAGCGCCTCACCTTGGTATTTCGGATCATAGAAACGGTGCAGAGCAGATTATGTTCCCTTTATATTCACATCTACTAAAGACATACTCCGTACAAGATATGCTCGATTGGTTATTTATCTTCAAATAACCAGAGAAGCTAAATTTGGTGCTTAAGAAGAAATATCGGCACCGGCTGAAATTGGTCTGATTAGCCGATTTGGATTGTCCTATACTATTGGATTTAGGTGCATCTATAATCCATGGTGAATTCTATGGACTTCTACTACTTTGAATTGGAACTCTTGTTACACTTCTCTTCAATTCAAGTTCCTAATACTAAGAAAATTGATTGTTTTGGGAAAGATGGTTGAATTACATGGAAAATATAGTAAATTCGTCCCTACCACTCCTCTTGCTCTATCACCTCTGTTCATCTTGGTTTGTTTTCCTCTCCGAAATAAGGAATCATTATTTCACACCGTATATGTAATCATCTATGTCGTATATAAACCGTTTTATTAATACTTCATATATGTTTTAGTATATATACGCGTGTTTAAGCCTTATTTGTCCAAAGGAGCAAATGTACAGTACCCTCAAAATTAATACATGCACCATAGAATTTTCCAAGTATATCAAATTAACAAGAAAACACAAGCGACACATGCGGCAGAAGAAAACGAGATGGGCTAATCAAGGGAAAGTAAAACGCCATATATCAGTTCACCAATGTAGCAAAAAACAAACCAAACCTTAGCTACTACCAGCTGATGAACTTACATACAGACACTACATATACTACAGGAAGCAAATGATAAGGAAGCTAGGTTTCACAATTCCACCGGAGTGGAACTTATTTATCGAGTTACACTCGGGTTCCGGCAATCCCCGCTGTGCCCTTCTCGCCAATACCAGCACCGTAGTCATTGTCTCTGTAGCCGGGACCGTAACGGCTGCTGAACCATCCGGCGTGAAGCAAGAGCACATAGAGGAGTTGGGTGAAGGCCAGGATGATCACAAACGCCTCCAGTACTCTCAGCCTCCATCCTCTCCATCCTCCTATATTGATCTGCTTGCAAGCCAACCTGCAAGAAATCCCAATAGTGAAGAAACTATTTGTAATTAATGGGGAAAAAATTACGGGATTAACGCGATTACGCGAATCTAATACGAACACGACTTACCCAATTGGGAACCCTAGATGTCATATATATATATATAAGAAATATGGAAACCTAATTAATGAATATTAATTACTCTATTACCCGAAAGCTAACGCAGTTACAGCCCAGGCAACTATAGCAGTAGATCCGGCAGGGCCGAGGCTGTCATTCCTCCACACTCTCAGGTGATTTCCGCCCATTAGTTTCGATATGATTCCCAGAACGGCTGCCAGAATAGAGAACACCAGGAAGAACATAGTCGCTCCATTTCCTCCAAAACCTTCATCATCATCAAATCAATTGAGAATATATACATAGGTATTAATTTCTACAACAAAGTTAAATAGTTACCCTAAATATGACAACAATAGAAATTACTACGTACTTAGTATCACTTAATTTTACGCCACCATGTTTTTGACTACTTGCTCTGTCATGTGACTCATGAAATTACCAATTTTAGCTTACAATTTCAAAATTAATTTCGAGACAAACAATTAGGGAACATTTACTAAATAGGAATAAATTAGCTTACAATACTAATAAATAAGTTTTTATTTCTAAAGTCTTTATTTCCTAAATGATGCGGTCAAAATTTCCTAGTTCGGGCTTGATTTTTTGGTGACCGAATCGGTCGATCCCAGGCCTGGTTCCGGTCCCGATGGATATATTTTTATTTTTTTTAATTATAGCGTGGGTACCGACCCGGGACCGGTACTGTTTGGACCCGAACCGGAACAATTCCGGGTCGGTACCGTAACTTTAATTATCGTTTTTGGTCCTGTAACTTTAAGGACTAGCAAATTTGGTCATGTAACGAATAAATCTTTGTAATTTAAGGACTTTCCCACCGGAAAGTACACTTTCCGGCAGAAAAGTTCGACGCCGGCGACATCTTTTCCGGTATGCTATTGCCGGAAAGTGTACTTTTCTGTGGAAAAATCCTTAAATCACAAATATTAATTAGCTAGAAGACCAAATTTGCAAGTGACTAAAGTTACGGGACTAATAATGATAACGGCCGAAAGTTACGGGATGAATATTGTAAATTTCCCAAAATTAAATAAAATTTGTAGTATATTACAACATCAAAAAAACCTAAATAAAGTTAATCATAACCGCTCTCCTCGAGATTTTTTTTTTTGAAATAGATCCATTACACTTTAATTTGTAATTATTTCAAATATTTCTTTTTTCTATAAAAAGAATCTAGACAGTCACTCAAAAACTAATCACCGATTCTATTACGCAAATTAATTAGTCTACTCTCTTTATAGAAAAAAATTATCTCTCAATAGTGATCATGGCAACCGGCAAAATCAAAGCCAACTTATTTATACTTGAACTTTCTAATGTTGAGGAGGGTATTGAATAGGGTGTTTTTCTGCTCATCAAATTTGATAAATAAGTGTAATTATTTTTTTATATATAAATTTTAAAGTTCACATTGAATACACCTAAACTTTTGAAATCTAAAATTTAATTTTTAAAATTTTACCACTAATTCTTGATAGAACTTAGTACAATACACCCCTAACATTTTTATAAATTCGGTTAAATGTTACGTATTAGGTTTAAGAAACATACAAATTATATAAATACAAATTATACAATAGTGAAATAGTTATTACTTAATGGGTTTATAGAGAGAAACCTAAACTCAGTTCTTCACTTTTCTTTAGTCCGGGCTCAAGCAAGAGATCGAACTACTCCAGCTGAATTTATGTAATTTTAGTTTGGAATTTGGGCATGGGGTTATTTGGGCTTAGTGGACTAAGCATATGGGGCATTTATTTTTTAATTAGGGGCATTTACTTTATTTAATTGGAGGCAAATTTATATGGGATGTGATTTTTCCTAATGAATTATAAGAAGCTAGTGGCTATTTATTGGGGCCAGCTGCCCCCTCCTACGCCTTTGCATCCGCCCTTGTGCATCAAAGTGTTTTTGACACGAATTTTACATTTTTCTTCGAATTTCTATCAGAAATTTCTGCCAATTCCGTACAAAATTTTGATTCATGAAAATCATCTAAACTTTTGATTTATATTGAGTTTTTAATTAATCAATCAACTCAGCTCAATATCACCTTCTATCTAGAATATAATGGGTATGTAATAGAGAGAGTAATTAATTCTTACTGGGATGATTAGTTTGGCCATTGATGAACTTGTTGAGACACCAACTAGAAAACCCTAACACAAGTAAGTACATTATCAAGTTCAGAAACAACAATGGAGCTGCCACGCTTCTTGCCACCGCCCTTGCCATCCTTCAAATCCTCTCCGACCAACTTAATTATCTCCGGCCGCCCTTACTTTTACTATTAATTTAATTTACAGTGGATATGTATTTGGCTTTTTTGATATGATCAATAAATGGTGCGGTGTGATGATGAGTATATATAATGGGGGTGGAAAGCGCCATGCAGGCTAGGGTGGTGGTATACGTGTCAGGCTTACTAGCTTTGACGATGGTACAGGTGGATGGACACGTGTCGCCTCATGCGTATTCTTCTCACGCTTTCCTTTCACACAAGGCTTTCGGCAGCTTTGGTATGCTCATTAAAATACGTTATCCATGCAGAGCTGAGGTATGCTCCGTTCCGTATTTTATGCATGCATGCACTGTGTAGAAGGCCAGCCTTACAATATGCGTACCTACTAGAAGTCTAGAACACGCAGATAACATTAAATTAAACAAAATAGATCAGATTAGGGTAATATTAGATAAAATCAAATCAAATTTCGAAAATTGGGAAATACATAGAGAACAGACATCTATCTGACCAGTTCAGATCAAACAATCAGACCTAAACAGATCGATTAATACTAGACTACATCAGATCATAAAATTTCATTCCACGTAAAGCATCGTCCTAAACCTTATACTAGTACTACGTATCATACACCATATAATTAGAGATTTGTTCCTTAAATGTTACTCAAGTACGTACGTAGTATAATACTATAATAATATACTCCCTCCGTCTCCCTATAATTATCTTATTTTTCCGTTTTTGACCGGATGTCGTCCCTCTATTATTGTTCCATACCATATTTGGTAACATTTGTGTAGCTCTAATTCATTATTACTTTATTCTCACTTTATCAATTCATCATCAACCACATAATTCTATTTTGCTTAAAAACCATGTCGCTCTCTTTCGTCTCAATATTAGGGGAACGGAGATAGTATGAACAAATGTACTGCTATAATTACTATGCACGCATAATCATTATAGTGTAAAATTGAACACAATCATTTTCACTAAAGTTACTATGGTAGTTACTAAAGTTTCACATTCTTGTCATCTACCTTTGTTTGGTTATATAAATGTCAATATTTCGTATTAAGAGTTACTCAGTTAGCAAAATTTTGATACACTCTTTTTTCAAATAGCTTTGTTGAATTCTAAGTTACTTCCACGAGAACTTACATTCTTCATCCCGCTAAGATGATCTCATTTCTCCCTTTTGATTCGTCCGTCACACTAAGACCGTCTTGTACCAAATCGAGTAGTTGACGAGTAATTTAATTAACCAGGAAAACAGAATGGGGCAAGCTAACATTCTAAGCAATAAGGCTACCCTCGAGTCGCGAGTACTCGCCGAGTAGATAATCAATTTTTTGTGACTTTTAGTATTTTTTGGCGGGAGTATAGTTGTTATTTATTAATGGTAATGAAAGAAGTTACAAGAAAGAGACAAAAAAGAAAAAAACACAACAAGAAAGCCCAACCCGAATTTTTGTCACTTTTAGTCCTTTGACTATTATGTCAATTACACTTACGGTACTCGACTTTGTGTTTTTTCACTTTTAATCCTTCAACATTTGTGCAACAGTTTTTTTGGTATCCGTCTTTGAGAATTTTCACATTTAGTCCTTCGATTTTCATAAAAGTTAATTACATTTTTGGTCTTTCAATTATTATAATAGTGACATATTTAGTCATTCACTTATTGTGTCAGAATCATACTGGAAGGTCTAAAAGTGTCAATCAGTGGACTAAATGAGGAAAACTTTGAAGTTGAGGACTAAAAGTTTCAATTTGATAAAACAGAAAAATTGAAAGTTAAGTACCAAAAGTATCTTTGACATAATAGTTAAGTCACTGAAAATGGAAAAAACTCATAGATTATGAGCCCATTTGATAAAATCCAAATCGGCTGTATTAGTCGTTTTTGCTGAAATTTGTGAAGTTCTGGCTGAAACGCCTGGATTGACTGATTATGTTGCTTTTTAAAAAAAACACACTTACAATAATATATTTTATTTGTAAAATTAAGAAAAAAATATATGAAAAAAGGGCAAAACGATTATCTACTGTATCTTCAACCAATACAATCAGAAAAGTAATTTCAGATTTACTTTTTCTTATCATTACATCATCCGTATGTGGAATCAAAAATTACGTTCCAAAACACAGTCACCAAATGATCTATATGACTATACATCTAAGATAAATTGGAGTATTAAATGTGCATTTTTTTTATATTACCAACTTTTGGAAGTCCTCCAACTCCTAGAGAATATCCAAAGCAAAAGATTATGTTGATACCACCTGCAGGAATCTGCTTGTTGCACAAAGAACGGCAAAGCCACGTTATGGACCCCTTCCCAGATGATTCAGTGGTTTGGTCCAGAGCTTATTTTAGAGCCAATTCTTTCTTGTTAAGATTATCTTTTCCTGTCACTCTCATCTACCTTGATACACTCTTGTATTAGGTAATTTTACTCGAGTCCAATAATTAATTCTACAGAAGCTTAATTATCATTTATGTTTTTTTTTGGTTTATTTGTGAGTCCTGCTACATGTGAACGGTGTGCGTTTCAGGCAGTATGACGGAAGTATCTTGTTTAGCATCATAGTCCATACTTTACAGTATTTTTTCCTGAGATTGGAGCAGATGGTTGCCCATTTTTGCTTCAAATAACAGGGAGGGTATGTTTCCCCTATTTTCTTTATATTTATCGATTCAATTTTCCCCACTGGATTTATTTTTGTGGGCATATTGTACTTCAGTCTATAAATTCATGCTCTAATGGGTGGTAGGAACTAAGTGTTAGGAAACCAGACACAATAATACACACTCATGCACACTATGTGCTGTAGTATAAGAAGGGAATCATATTCTATTCAAGAACCTGCTATTGAATCGCAGGAGATGCCTTTATATATACGGAGTAATAGACATTGAAACATCATTAATAGGAACATTAAAAATAGAACTTTCTGGGAAGTCTTTTCATGTATCTAGCAACTCTTTAGTTTCCCATGTTTATTTGAATTAAAACTATTTTCCAACAAATTCCTCCCTTAGTTTTAATTCCCTCTTGTCCTTCATGCCAAGCTCACGCTTGCAGTAATCAAACATCGGGTTTGATAGAGGCTTGGTGAATATGTCTGCTTTCTGTTCTCTGCTCGTCACATGGTCCAACTCGACTTCTCCTCGTTTTATCTGCTCTCTTATAAAATGGAATCGCACATCAATGTGCTTACTTCTTTCGTGATGAACTGGGTTCTTGGTTAATTCTATAGCAGATTTGTTATCCACAAGAATCTTAGTTGGTGCTGCTTCGCCGAGCATTAATTCGCTCAGAAGTCTTCTTAGCCATACGACATGTCTTACACATTGAGAGGCAGTGACGTACTCAGCCTCACAGGTTGACAAAGTCACTATTGGTTGTTTCTTTGACAACCAACTAAAAACTGAACTTCCAATGTTGAAAACAAATCCGCTTGTGCCCTTCCGGTCATCTTTGTCTCCACACCAGTCACTATCGTTATAGCCAATCAGTCTTGTGTCGTTCGTCTTCTGGTAAAACAGTCCGACTGTTTTTGTTCCTTGAATGTATCTTAGAATCCTCTTGATGGCTTTCAAGTGTGATTGGCGAGGTTCTTCCATGTATCTACTCACAACCCCAACACTGTATGCAATGTCTGGTCTCGTACAGGTCAGATACCTTAGACTGCCAACCAGACTCCTATAGAGCTCGACATCAACTCAGTCTCCTCCCTCAAACTTAGATAGTTTGGCTCCTGTCTCCATTGGAGTCGCCACCGGCTTGCATTCTTCCATTTTAAATTTCTTTAGAATCTCCTTTGCATATCCCTCCTGGGATACAAAAGTTCCATGCTCCCTTTGACTAACCTCCAGGCCTCAGAAATATTTCATGATTCCGAGGTCAGTCATCTCGAATTCTTGTTTCATGCTCCTTTTGAATTCCTCCACTATCTTCTGGTCACTGCCCATAAGGATCAAATCATCTACATACAATGCAACAAACATTATTCCAGTCTTATTCTTTAATACGTATAGGGCGTGCTCGTACGGGCACTGCTCAAAACCATGCTTTTTCATGTAAGAGTCTATGCATTTATTCCACGCCCTCGGTGTCTGCTTCAGCCCATATAGTGCCTTCTTTAATCTCAATACTTTCATCTTCTGTCCGGCCTCCACATACCCAGGCGGTTGCTCGACATACACCTCTTCCTCCAATGGTCCATTCAAAAATGCCGATTTTACATCCATTTGATGGATCGGCCATTTCATCTAGGCAGCCTTAGCAATTAGCAATCGGATTGTATCCATTCGTACTACTGGTGCAAAAACTTCATCATAATCAATCCCTGCCTTCTGTCTATATCCTTTTGCCACTAGTCGAGCCTTATAGCGCTCGACCTTGCCTTCAGCATTGCATTTCTTTTTGAATATCCATTTTACTCCAATTGGTTTGTGATCCCGTGGGAGATCAGCAAGCTCCCAAGCCTTATTTTTCTTGATTGATTTTATCTCTTCATCCATTGCCTCTCTCCACTTCTCGTTTTGCTGGGCTTCTTCAAAGGTAATGTTCTCACTATCGGCGAGCAAACATACTAAATGCATCTCTGGAGTGTTTTCGTATAAATCTTCCAAAGTTCTGTACCTGTCAACAGCTGGTTGGAAATCTCCCTCTTCATCACTTGAGTTTGTTTCTTGAGTTTCAGTACTCGGTACTGGGATGATGAGTTCGGTCACCTCCTGTTCGATTTCCATCTCCGTTTCCTTGCTCCTGTCCCAGCCGTTGGCTTCATTTATTTCCACATCTCTACTTACTTCAACTTTCTCATTAACTGGGTTATACAATCTATAACCCTTGGTTCTTTCATCATAACCGATCATTACCATCTTCTTACTCTTGTCTTCCAGTTTGGTTCTTTTCTGGTTAGGGATATGATGATAGGAACCAGACAATAAACTGTATAAGTCTTGTAGCTATTACAGTAGCAGAAGCTGGTAATTGACAAACAAAGAGAAAAACGGAGGAAAGAAAAGGTTTGAGACAGTTCGAGTCGTCTCAACACTCCCAAGGCCTAATTCCATATCCAAAGTTCTGCCTCCTCATCTCCTCACCACTCTCACTTATTTATTCAATTTATAATGGGCCAGCCCACTATTACATTTGATTAAAATACTCAGTATTATTTCTATTATATCTCACTCCATAAGCCCATAAGTCCAAGCCTCTATCATCACTCCTCCCTTTGACAACCACCTTGTCCTCAAGGTGGGAAGTAAGAGCCTTGACCTTCAACTTCATCTTCATCCGGGCACCTCTTCCTTCCCAGTATCTAACTGATGGCGGAACCATGAGCGTGCTTGCCTGGAGAACACGCTGATTGTTGGGATCTTTGTAATTGTTTTGTTCCTCATGATCAGATGGTGCTGTTTGATCTTTTCTTTCAACATGCTTTTCTGGATGCACTGGTTGCGAATTGATAAAACAGCCAATGCTGCAAGTCATTAAAATAATGTGTCCATCTCTGGTTAAGCACAAAGCAAGTTCTTCCTTAGTTTCATATGAGATTCCACCTTCCGGTTTCACAGTGTTTTGATGAACACCCAAAGATGCCTTAGCAGAATAGACCAGAGATCTTGAGTTAGAGTGACTGTATATTACAAATAAAACCGAGGGTGAACCAATATCAAGCCGAGCAACCCGGCGACTTTCAAATCCCATAACCCGTTTGGATCCTGATGCCATGTACTGCCAGATGCATACTGAAGAACTGACAAGTGAAGAGAGAGCTGTGCATTGATACACAACACCACTTGGGAAAAGGGAAACTTCAGTGTTGGGTTCAGTGATCAGTTGCAATCTTGTTTCCTCAGAGCCAGAGCTACTGCCAATCATGTAATCGTGAAATTGGACAGATTTGTGTCCAATAACAACACTCAAAAAATGAGTGTAAGAGTCTAGAGCTGTTGTTGCCGCAGTAGTACTAATGCTCTCCATGTCGTTTACCTCAGGTAGCAAAATGTTTATGGAATGATTTGACTTCTACCTGAGGATTGATGTGGACCAAACTGAGAGATGCTTTCTCTGAGGGACTGTTCACCATTTCAAAATGTTGTAGAAGAAATGAAGCATCTGGATGCTCCTGCTCATGAGTTATCTGTGACATTGAAATTAACTGATATCCTGAAACGATTTTACTTCTCCATGGTGGCCAAACAACGTCAAAGCCATCCATATTTATACCAGCTTCTTCAAAGTTTACCGTGAAAATCCGTGCCCTGTCCTTTAACTCTGCCAGAATCCCAGAATGCAATAGTTTCAACTTGACTCTAATCTCCTCCTTTAATCCATTCATGAATTTGTCTTTAAGCATCTCAGACTCCTTGAATTTCATAGAAGCTATCACCAATTCATATATCTCGTCAGCTGATGCCTTTCAGTTCAAGTATTTTTGAGAATTTGGGAATATGAGGGACACATTTTCATTTCCATGCTTGCCAATAATAAATATACCAGTCTTAATAATGTTCTCAGGTACCAAGTGGTAAGCACAATTTGATATATTCAAATCAATCTCCCTTCTTGGGCTGATATGATTTCTGTTAATGGACACCTCCTCTTTATATGATGTAGGCTGTGAACTGATGATTTCTCCTCTGTCTAGCCTCGCACTAGGGCTCGCATAGGATGATCCCGTTGATTTCAAGTCTCCTCCTGATCGAGTCACACACGAGCTGTTAGTAGATGAAGAGACCTGCGAACATGGAAGATCTGTTGTGAAGAACCCTGAGGTCTGGGAGATACTGTTTGCAGCGAAGCTGGCGAACTGGAAGAAGCTGATGACAATGAAGATCGAAGAGGAGAAACAGTTCGCAACGAACTGGGAGATGATGCGGTTACCCACTGCGAACCGGATGAAGCTAGAATTGAAGTCAGCGAACCGGAAGATGAAGTTCGCGATTGCGAACTGGAATGATTCCTGAGCGTCGAACTCTGCGACCTATGAGAAGTTGTACGTGAAGGGGCCTGTGAACTACGGACATCTGCTCGGGGCGACGCTTGTGAACAGGGAAGAGCTATTGACGATCGCTGAGAACTGCGATAAATTGTAGGCGACGAAGAGGGCTGGTGAGTAGCGGCTAACGTCTAGCATTGTTTTTCAATTGGCCGACGATGTCTAGGAGAGCTCCTAGCTCTGTCTCTATGTCGCCTCTGACGGTGACGAAGTTTGCGCAACATATAGCGCAACTCCTTCCACTGAATGTCGCTATTGTCCATCCTCTTCTTCGACTGTCGTTGAAACTGACGATCGATTCAGGCTCCAGGAAGGATGCTTTGATACCTATGATAGGAACCAGACAATAAACTGTATAAGTCCTGTAGCTATTACAGTAGCAGAAGGTGGTAATTGATGAACAAAGAGAAAAACGGAGGAAAGAAAAGGTTTGAGACAGTTCGAGTCGTCTCAACACTCCCAAGGCCTAATTCCAGATCCAAAGTTCTGCCTCCTCATCTCCTCACCACTCTCACTTATTTATTCAATTTCTAATGGACCAGCCCACTATTACATTTGATTAAAATACTCAGTATTATTTCTATTATATCTCACTCCATAAGTCCATAAGTCCAAGTCTCTATCATATGAGCATAAGCTACACTGCC